TGCCTGCAAATGTTTGAACATAGAGTGTTAATTTAACAAGCCATCATTCTGCTCTCTGTAGCACAAGTGATACTCTGTGATCTGTTAAATGATCCCCAATATTTGTGTCACAGCTGATTTAACAGGAAATGTGCTACTTCCTGGGATATCCTGCATGCACACACTTCAACAGCACAGCACAATGCAGTCTCAGAGATTACTCTGCAGCCATTGATTATGTGGAAAATAACGGAGGCTCACACTTAACACTTACTGCCCTTGCACTATTTTGGGGAGGAAAAAAGAGGCCCATTAGCTAAGAGTGAACGTTTACTTAACTATTCAGGCTGGCAAAACGCAGGTGAAATCTGATGTGGAAATATTAATTACTTTAGTATTTTCTTGTAAATCGTCTCTAACAGGTAAATATTCAACAGAAAAGTATGCTCAGTAGCTTCAGTCAAGACAGTTTTATCCTGTGCTCTTCTTCAGGTTTCCTCACTCCGTGCTACAGGGTTGTGGCTCTCAAAGCTTCTTCAGCACTAGGGGACATCACTCAACACATCATCTGCTCCATTTGACAACTAACCACAAGCCTGTCTCTTGGAAACACAGCTTTTATTTAAGGCTCTTCCTTCTATTACCTTTATTTCCAAATTCTCCATCTCCTGAGTTCCTCCAGTGTCTTACCTAGGATGATTATCCATATTCCTCCTCTGATATACAGTGGGAACTCTTTTAGATCTTTTTCCTCACCTCCCTTCTTTCTCAGTTTGTCCCTATACTTTTCTCCAGGACTTAGATTCAAAAAAAAAAAAAAAAAAAAAAAAATTAATTTTAGGGCTTCTTTACCCTATAAAATAATTGTCTAAACACTAGGCTTGGTCTGACATCTCCACAGCCTGAACTTGACAAAGAACTGAATTCCTACTTCCCCTGCCTTCCTTTGTCTTTCCTTTTTTTTGTTGTGTTCTCAGGTGCACACTCCTGTCATGTGGTTCTCATTTGACAACCTAGATCTAAACTGATGGAGAGGTGGAATTACTTGTAATCGTTTTGAGGCATCTACAGCACTTCTAGTCATCTAAAGTCCCCTTAAAAGAAAAGAGAAACAAGCAGAGTCATACAGCACTGCAGGAAAGTGCTTTGGACGTCTCCCTTAGGACATACAACACAAAGTATGTAAATCGTAAGCTCCTATCAGTGTGATTTAGTCTGCTCTTTATACACAAAGTTAAAAAAGCTATTTAGCAAGATTTTTGCTATTACACATATTAACTATGCAATTATTTTCCAATCCAGCCTTGACACTGTGAATGGTCTTTCGTGAAGATGAGGAAAAGGTAATATTTCTGGCTTGTTTCTTGAAACTGAGAGAGTTACAGTTAAAAGTTTTTGGGTTTATTTAACCCTAAATCCTTTGATGAATCAAGCCAGCTACAGATATAGCTGGATTAAGCATGTTTAAAACGGTGCCTATGTGGTCACATCAGCTCTTATATGTTTTTTTGTTCTTAGAATTTCTTGTGTATTTAAGTATGCAGGAGCAACCTGTCCTATAAACTCCAGTCTAATATCAGTGTCATGCATATGGAACAATCCTCAGTGGCTGAACTTCCTTTCTTGATTAGTTATTTATTCAGTCCTTATTTATGTGCATTACAAATACTCTTTGAAAGTGATCATCTTTAATATAGGTGCATATAAAGCCTCTCCAGTTGGGTCTACTGTTAATAAGTAGTAATAACTATTTTGATAATAAGACCCTGATGATTTAAAAAAAAATGCAACATCTATGAGATGCCAGTTTACTAACTACAGTGATTAGGGGGATTAAAAAAAAAAATAATCTAGAGTTCAGTCCTACAACATAATAAGAATCATGAAAAGTCAAATAGAATTCATCATTTTCCTGTAACAGAAGTCTTGAAATTTATCAACAACTTCAAACTTGAAACAGTTTTGGTTAGCTTCTCCTCCTTGTCCCCCTGAAATCGATGTGGTTACTATTTGGTACAATATTACTTCTCAAGTTAAGGGCTCATGTCCACAACAGAGACAATAAAACCTAATGGGATAGTCAAAACTCTCCCGATTTAGGAGAATAAATAATACTGATAGAGGGGGCTTTAGGAGAACACCCTGAAACACTCTCTACGAGTCACATGCGTCCACTTAAGAACAGTATGAAACTGCTGCATATATTCACCATGAAAACCATGGATAGAAAGAAAGAGATGTAGCAAAATATTATAATCTTTAATCTTGAGACTTCCCATGCAAGCAAATGCTTTGCTTATATCCCTCACAGATTAAGTTCTATGGAACTGGAAGGAAGATGTGCCCTATATCACTGCTCTCAGCATGAGTAACAATGTATGATCACAGTTACAAGCTTGTTTGGGTTTTGTCCGTCCAGACACCACCTGAAGATAAATACACAATTAAAAAATAAATCGCTGTTTATTTTGCCTGTGGGAATAGACATCCTGGACTTAATCTGAGTGATTTTAGGAATGAGTCAAAAGAATTTTCCGTACAAACAAGCTCCTGGAATGGTTTTCCACTTGGAGAAAGGAATTCTATAGGTAGGAGAGAAGAAAAAAGTGATATAAGAATACTTCTGCAAAATCCAGGAATTCCATATTAGGGCCCATAATTTGAAAGAAAATGTAACTTTACCCAAAAGATTGTATTACAATTAATGTTATTTTTAAACAACCTTACTGATTATTACAGAAACCTGTTGGACTAATTTTAATAAATGCCTCAGAGCTTTTCCATAAAAACTAAGGTATACACACATAGTACTACTGATTACTATTACATAGTGGAGAAAAAATACTGGATCATTAAATCTTTATACATGAAGAACTTGGCCTTTCCTTCATTCAGTGCTCATTCAAATAGAGGCACAAAATCTCCAATTAAACAAAACCAGCCACCCTCTAGGTTTTTATTTTTATTCAGCTTGTGTTTCTGTCTAACTTGATCCTGACTTTTGTGCTTGCTTGGCAAACGCCTATTAAAATACGGCCTAGAGTGAAGAACCGGAGCCTCTGGGGAACTACTAGACCTGGTTTGATTTTGTCAGTCCTCTCAAATGACCCCATTAGTCTCTGAGAGGCAGGTTAAACAGCTGCAACACCCCACAGAGGCCTTTCTTGGGATGCAGCACCCAGATGCTCATGTGCACCTCGAAAAGGGTGAAGGATCCTCATGGGTGGACACACGCAGAAGGGTCTGCGCTCTGCTGGGGTTATCCTCCCATGTCCCCGTGCTCACAGGGGAGCTACTGTCTTAAACACTGCCTTATTAGCCTTAAATATGGCCCTGCAAGGAGGGGGGGGATGACAAAATCCCTGTCGTGGAGCAGCACTGCCTGCACCCTCTGCCTGCCATTGCCCACGCAGCGCACCTGCCGTGGCAGGTCCTGTGCCATGTCCTTCCAGCCCAAAACACAGGAAAAAATTAGGAGGTCTCCCTCTGAATTCTTACCCACATTGCTCTTGTGGCTAAGGGGGCTTTTGGAAGGCAAATGGAGGGCCCCCGCTCCTTCCTACCTTGTGGGCTGTTGGGTGCAGGAATCTGCCAGCTGAGGACCAGCCGCAAGCTTGGGATGGGCGAGGGGGCTGGAGGGGAACGGATTGTTCATCTCCAGGTAAAACTAAGCCACTTTATTAACACAGGAATGATTTGTGGTCCCAGGTAAACTAGTGGCTGTTAAAACACAAGACCCAGGGGTCACGATTCCCAACTAAATGAATGGCTGTTAAAACACAAGACCCAGGGACAGTGATTCCCAGCCATGTTTTCTGAAAGCAAAATTCTAACTTACAATGAATCAAAAAAGCATTCTTTAAGCTACATTCTGTCAATATGATGATCCCCTATGCATCAGTGGACGTACACCTGCCAAACTTGGAGAGTAGGGGAGCGAATTTAGAAAAAAAATTAATACGAATATTCAGAAGGTAGAAAAGTCTAAATAATCCACATGCAGCAGAGTTCGTGCTACATTTTCCTAAGAAAGCATCTTGACCAAGGGGGAATTTGTACTGCTTTGCTTTCTTACCTTTTTAAAATAAAAAAAAAAAAAAAAGGAAGTATTTTACACTGGAATAGCATTCCATGTCAAGGTTTCAAACCACATGCAGAGATGATTGTGAGAGGCAGGTGATGAAAGCTGCAATCATTCTAAGTGGCATATAAGAGAGCTGAAGTTTTATGAATAGACAAGAAATTGCTCCCTCTCTCTTATACCTGCCTATCATCTTCTTGTACCCTGTAAGAGAATCTCTCATTCACACTGGACTTCCAGGAGTTCATGAAAACCCAGGACTCTGTAGCTGAGCCCAGGCTGTGGTCAGGAGCGTGACTCCTGGAGCTGGGTTATATTTCAGTCTGCAGAGGAGTTACAGAGCTGGGACCCTCACAGATCAGTGCTTCAATACTCCTTACGGTGCTGCTTATCTGTGACTTTTCTTATTTGGCCTAGAGACACATTTCTCTAGTTTATGCAAAGCAGAACTCAACGGAACAGATTCTCCTCCAATCACGGTTTAGCCTCACTTGGATTTTCTTTCCTGCGGCAATATATTTTACTTTTGTTTACAACAGAAACAAAGCAAAAAAAAAAAAATCCCCAAATAAACACATGGAAAAAATCCCTGTGGTCTTTGGAAAAATTTCTCTGGGATGATATATTGCCTCATGCACTAATATATACAGTTCAAAGGAAAATAATGGGTGCATTGTTTCAACAAGAGAAATTTACTTTAAACACTTAAATAATTGAAAACTACTAACACAGACACACAGGAGGACAGTCATCTTGGTTAGTTAAAAGCCACAATAATATTTCCCAACGATATTAACAATGTTTAACTTCTAGGGTGATGGTGAAAGATAGCCAGCCAGCAAAGGTGATTAAAGAAATGTGTACAGGTGGTTAATGGCAGATGTAAGCGGAAAGTGCCAGAAGTAGGCAGTCAGGAATATTTTGGAAAGGTGCACTCTACCTGTGTAGCCCAGCGAATTGTCGCCGTTATCAGAGGTGGGGAGTGGTGTCCCGCTGTCGTTCCCCCTCTCTAGGTCTTCGGAGTCTGTCGGAAACAACACCAGAGCTGCTGATGGGGTCACAGGAGTAACAGGAGTTGCCATTTTGATCACAACACGCCCAGACACAATCAAATCCACACATGACAGCAAGAGCCACAGTGCCAGCGCACGGCACACCTCGTCCTTCCCCCTCCTGCCTGGTGGAGCCCAGCGAAAGGCGTCCGGGAGCATCGCCCCGGGGTCCCCAAAACGCTGCCCCAAAATGCCGTCCCCCTCTGCCCACTCCAAGTGTCACCCCGCACAGTGGCCACCCCGCTCAGCAGCCAGCGCAGGCTGCGGGGAGCATATGGGGCCGGGCAGGCAGGGGAGCTGAATGCTAGCATTGCTAATTTTCCACCTTATTGTTAATCAAAGCTATTGACTGTGATCACTCCCCATCATCGCTTCATCTCCTGGCAATTACAGACCCAGGGGACTTCACCTCTTTGTGGGGAGGAGGCGGGGAGGGGGGGTTTGAGGAGGGGGGGGGTGGCTGTGTCTTGGCAAGCAGAAGGGGGGATGCTCGACCTCTTTGGGGAGATGGGGCAGGGGAAAGGGGAAGAGCCCCCTCCATGAAAAGGCAACAGTTTAGCTGCGTGAGGAGCAAGAGGCATTTTCTCAGTTCAAGGAAACATCCATTTTTATGTCACACAGAAAAACAATTAAAAAAAAAGAGGGAAGGCAGCTGGTCAGCTAAACACATAAATGAACACGTTTTAGGACCCAAAGATAAACTGCTGATCAAAACTCCGCAAAGCACCACGAGGATAACTCATAATAACAAATCATTCCAAGCAAAAAAATAAAATGAAAATCCCACTTGCTCTGAAAACAAAACAGCACAACCCAAAGGAATTTGTTGTCAATATGACTACGTATTTTTGCTTTTAATGCGAAACTCTTTATTAAACTTCAATCCTGTTTTATTTACTTTTGACAGTGCACTGTCCAACAGATAATACCTAAAAAGAAACATCAATATTTAGTTCAGGAAAAAACTGCAAGAAGCATGGCTCTTTGCAATGATATCACTACCACAACAATAGGCTGCTTATTTCCTTTTTCTCTGTTGACAGGTGTCAGATAATTTATTAATTATTTTAAAGACCCTGAACAGGAAAGATATATTTTGCTCTCTCACACAGTCATATTCTGGAATTCTATAATGACTGAAAGTAACTGTTCCTTTTCAACAAAACCCACATGCTGCTAAAAATCATTCTGAACTTTCACAAAACACCGAAAGCAACTAGGTATGAAACTAAAATAATAAAAAAAAAAAACTTAAATAGATTATTTTTTTCTGTGTGTCTAATTTTTTAGCTCAGTCAATCTCATTTTTAAAATGTGATGCCAAACATTCATTTCCTCCATTTGTTTTTCAAACAATCTTAGAGACAGTATCCTTACAAATCAAAATCTTTTTAAGGAATTACAGAGAAAAATGTAAAGAAAACCAAAACCCTCAAGACCAATCCACTCAAGGGGATGTATTGGCAAAACATAATTCTTTTTAAAAGTCAATTGAAGAATTGATAGCATGCCTTTCAAAATAGTGTCGTGCAAATTAAGAAAATAAAAGACCAAACAACAACAAAAAAAACAGGCAAGCACCAAGATGATGTTTCATCTTGGCAGATGAAAGAAATGAAATATGTTCATTTATTGGCTCATTCATCTTTGCTGGCTCACTAATGGCCAATGTCACGTACATCTTTAAAATCTGCTCTGAAAATGCTCTACTCAGACTGTAGAGTGACTGAATCAACACTCTGCTTCTCCAGATTGCTCTCTCATTTGCATTCAAGGGTTGATTGGGTCAAAGTTTTAAATTACAGCAGTAAAGAACAGAAGGATGGGACTTTTTATTAAATTAAAAGGCAGAGGCTGTGCCCACTTTTTTTAGGGAAAATGTTTATAATCAGCTACAGAAGGCCCAGACCGAGATTTCAACCAATGAACCTGCTGATCATCATTCTGAAAGATTGATTGCATTCTAGGAGATTTACCCAGACACTGCTCATAATGATGAAGGAGGAAGAAGAGGCACTGAAAGCTACTGGAAGTGTTCCATGTGTCATTGTAATATCTGGTGTCATGAGCAAAATATAATTGCATAACAAATTGAACTTTTTTCTCCAAGGTAGTCCCTCAGATATGGAATTCTGAGCAATGGGCCATCCTCCTCATAGCACCTCCCAAAACAACCAGTGCTAATTCCCTTTATCAAAGCTCACTTAGAAGTTTAGGCAGGAGCAGTTTCCAATTCAGAAACGCTCTGCATTCAATAGAGCCAACAGGACATGAAAGCAGCAGCTTTAAAAACCAGCCTACTACCACTTGCAGTTACTTAGGCATCAGAATAGTGACATCAATCCCTCAGTGAAGGGAAATGAGGGCATTAGTGTCTTTTTAATACATGATATCTCTTAGTGTCAATGTTATTTGCAATCTAAAACTACGCAGACATTATTCGCTCTCTCCTGCTTCGAGAAATGCTACTTTTCCACCTGATTAACTAATGTTAAATTATGGTCTCTGGCTGAAAATGACTCGCTAACGATGATGGCTGAAGTTCAGTTCTTGCTGTGGGTGAATTCTGCCCATGCCACTGCACCCAAGTCCTACATTTTGGGCTGTTGCCCTCTGTGCTGGGATGAATTTAATTTCAATTCTGTCACAGGTTCCAGCTTTGCTTGGGAGTCCCTCTTAAAACTTAACAGAAGAACTCTTGACTTAAATGGCACATTTCACTGTAAGGCTGCTGTGAAAGCACTCTGTTGAATGGGTGTTAAAAGGCCTGAATGTTAAGACATGACATATTTCTTTGACTGAAGTGCTGTAGAATCAGGTAATTTTCAACTTGGCTTTCCTAAACATAACAAAGGATTTGACAACATTACACTTTTTGAACTAATTGCCACACCAAAAAATGTGATGCAAACTATAAAACTAGAAACAATTCACCTGATGTCTGAAAAATTTACAGCTCAGTCTGAGTCAAAGCAGAGGCTGAACTTGGTGCCTCACCCCTCAAAGAAATGCCATAATCACTCTCTAAGAGGTTTCACAGAAGCGACAGAGAGAGATGTCCCTCAAAACAGCTCTCTAATGTGGCTGGACATCTTGGTGACAAGAAGATTTCAAACCAAGGTCTCCTATATCTTAGCTGCTCAAAAAAAAAAAAAAAAAAAAAAAAAAAAAAAAAAAAAAAAAAAAAAAAAAAAAAAAAAAAAAAAAAAAAAAAAGAAAAAAAATCCTATTTTTATTGAAAAAACCCCCTTAAGCTTTAAAAAGATGCCTAGGCAGTAACTGGTCGATTCTTATAGAAAAAAAAAAAAACAACCAAACAACAAAAGCAACCAAACAAGCTTGAAAAACAACAACAAAATCAACCAAACAAGCCTGAAAAACAACTGCCAACCTCTACAAAACAAAACCCAATATTTAATTCAACAAAAAATTACCTGTAACTATGCAAAACTTCAGGAGGAAGTCAAATAGAGTTGCCCTCCCCTTTTCCCAAATGAGTTTTTTTTGGAAGAGGAATTTGAAAAGTGAAGTCTTGACTACTGATAAAATAAGGAGCAAACCACCACCCCTTAATAATTGCTACTACACTTTTCTTTCACAGAGGCATTCGAGATGCCTCATTTAAGAGGGGAAACCTCCCAGAGCCACCACCTCAAGGCATTAAAAAAACCCAATGAACATCTACTTTGACTTGGTAGGAGAGTATCAAGTTAATCAGCACTGAGTGGTCCAGCTTTTTGATGGAATTTTTTCAGGCTTAATCAGCCCAAGCACAGATGACACCTTTCAAACAAGGATTTTGCATAATCATACAGATTCAGAACAAATTTAGGTGGTCCAGTGGCAGTTGGAGAGCAGAGGAGATTTACATGAATGTGGAGAGCCTTTTCCTACAAAATTTCTACTGAAATCTCTACGTTATTCCACTTTATGGGCTGCACCAGGAGCCACTAAACATCACTCATGCTTTAATTTACATATCTTTTAACTCTTCCAAATAATGAGAAAATCCAAATACTAAATATTTAGTATTGTTACTCATTCCCTTAGCTCCCACAACACCTCAGACCAGACAGGCACACTTATTTTGGCAGCTACTTACATTCAAGTATGTTGTGCAATCCTAACCTCAAAAATTGTATTAAGCATGCTTTTTTTTTAACCATGGCACTGCTATTCACAGAAAAGTCACCAGTGAATTTTTTCCCCCTCTGGTAACAGCAAGGAATGCCATCGGTTATCGCTTCTTTTGAACCAGGAGATGGGTCTGTATGACACGTTTTATTGATGATGCATCCTTAAAAGTCCCCAAATGATTCAGTATTGATGCCCTGGCCCATCCTCCTGGTGGACATAGAGAAAAATTAAAAAGAGCTAAACAGACATAGCTTCTTACTGCTGGAGGAATCTCACGTATCTGAGTTTCTGCACTGGTCATTATTTATCTGAAATTCAAGTCATCTACTGGGAAATGTCTGACTGCAAAAATAGTAACTCTTACCTTATTTAATTCCAAAATCTATAACTTCATTATTTCTCGTTATGTTTCTCAAAATTTCATTATCACCATCAGCATGGGGGTACGAAATTGGGAGGAAACAGCATGAACAGCATTTTGCAAATGAGCATTAATAAAAGATTAGGGTGAAGCAAATGAATATAAACTACTATCAATAGTAGAATTGTGTTCTACAAATTGGATCAATTCCCATTGATTCCTTTCGAGTGGTCTAGACAAATTCAGGAAGAGACATCAGAAAAAATGCCCAACTGGGACTGCACCAAACCTAAACCCAAGATGAGGAACTAAATTAGTAGCCAGGGCTTTTTTCATTATTTTGATTTACTCTAGGTTTTCATTGGAGTTACAGTAGAAATACATTACACTATATCTTAAGGAATATTTGATTTAATTATTTTTCTTCAGTTGGTTATTCATAATGACAAAACATTTTATGCCATCAGACTATAA